GGGGGCCCGGCAAGAATGTTTGCCCCAGGGCCCGTGCTGGCTCTCGATGTTCCTGGTTGAAATATTATTAGTAATCTTCACAAATTAGAAAAGTTAGCAGAAGAAGACCAAACTGAGTAGAAAGTTTAAATCTTTCAGACTTGTTATTTTTAGGTCCTACTTTATACTAAAAGCTATAGTAACTTAATGTGGAATTGGTATATGCCAATAGGTAAAACAACAGAACCCTGGAAACATGCAAATTGATAAACAACATACAGCTACTTAAAGCATAGTAAAGCTGAAACTAAATAACTCACAATCTATGGAAAAAAATTGTCATGAAAATCACTAAACATGAGTGCTGACATCTTTATTACACAAATAATTATAACCTGTGTACAAAAACTACTTAATAGATAAAATATTATCGTTAGATCTTTGGTGTTGTTTACCAGAATTCACCAGTCAATAATATACATATCATTCAGTTCTCACCCCTCTAGTGTGGTGGCTAATGATCTATACAAGGCAATTTCTATTTATTTCCTAAAGCTCAGTAGTTAATAATCTATGTACTATCCAGAGTTTAACATCTTCTCTAGTGTTGTGCCTTCCAGTTTATACAAGAAAGTTATTAAGACTGTAAGGAAGAACTTTAATCTGTGTTTACGTAATATTTAAATCTATAATATAGCAACACAAAAACTATAATGTGGTAATAGTTGTTTGACAGTCAACAATCTAAATGTTTTAGATATAAACATCATGTATACAAGGAATTACTAGTTGTTTACTAGAGTTCACAATGAAGTTATTTTTATACAAGTATCTTTTGTGTGTTATCCTACAATCTATTTTGGTTGTTTCCTAGAAATCATCCTTCAATACTTAAAACATTTAGTTCTTAGAACTCAAATATTTTCTGTAACAGTATGTAGAAGAGAATTATTAATTGTTTGCCTGAGTTTAGATACCATCTATTATTTTGTCTTACAATATGTAGAAGAGAATTATTAATTGTTTGCCTGAGTTTAGATACCATCTATTATTTTGTCTTACAATATGTAGAAGAGAATTATTAA